CCCATCAATCCCGGCTGCCTTACCCCCTTTCATTTTACCTACTGCCTCACGAACTTCCCCCACACACACAACTGGCCTCTTCCTCACTCCTACAAGTTGTTATTCCTCCTTGACCTCTACACGAAATCACAGCTTCCCTATCTTCATCAACATTTAACAATTCCTCATAATATTCCCCCCATCTCCCAATACCGCTAAACACCTCCATTTAATACTCTCCTCCTCCTATTTTTTAACTGGCAAATCATTTGTTCTCTAGGCTTTCTTAACTTGTTAATCTCACTCCAAAACTTTTTCTTATTTTCAACAAAATTGTTGATACCATCTCACACCCACGCTCTCATGTGGCTCTCTTTTTAACATTGCTTCACACCACTCTCTTAACCTCTCTCTTTTTCTCCATATCTCTTCCCTCCTTGCATCACTTCACTTTGAAAAAACTTCTCATATGCACAGTATCATCAAAAAAAGTAACTTGTCAACCCCATTTTGAATTTGATTCCCCAAAATTTAACCCCACCCCTCTCCCAAACCCCCAGCATTTATTTCCCTTTTTAAAACCCCTCTATAAAAAATTTTAAAACAACCAGGGGGACTTTACAAAACCCGTTAAGACCTACTTTTACCGGGAATATCTCCCTCTCTTTCTACACCCCCAAACCGAGCCTCACTACCCTCAAAAAACCTTTAGACATTTAATAACTTACCACCTATTCCAATCTTGCAACATCTGCCCCACTGCTCCTCTATCCACTCTATCATATCCCTTTTCTAAATCCTAAATCAATAAAAACTTCCCCCCCTTTATCTAAAAACTGTTTTACATATATGCTTTAAAGTAACACTTGACTACACATCCCCCCACCCACCTGAAACCTCCTTCTCATCCGCAATCCTACTTTTTTTTTTTAAAACCCCTAAATTTTTTCAATTTAAAACCCAAAGTACACTTTTTCCTGGGATACCAGAAGCTTTTTCCTCTATAAATTTTTACAGTCTTTTGTCCCCTTTCCCCTTTTTAAAAAAGGACTTTCATGCTCCGCCAATCCCTAGGGACCTTCCCCCTTTCATACATTTATTTAAAAAAAAGTACCAACCACTCCCCAAAACAAAAAACCCCCTTGCTTTAAAATTCTGTCTGATCCCACAGTTCCGCGCTTACCCCCTTTCATTTTCTAATGCCTCACCCCCCCCACACTTACTTCTCCCTTCTTCATCCTAAAAGAGTATACCTCCCTGACCATGCATGAAATTACTGCCCCTGTTTTTTCCTTAAAATTTAAAAGTTCCCAAAAAATTTTTCGCCTACCCAATACCTCCATCCCCCCATCTACTAACTCCCCTACTCTGTTTTTTAACTGACAAATCCATACTTTCCCTAGGCTTTCTTAACTTGTTTTAAATCCTCCAAAATTTTTTCTTATTTTTAAAAATTTCTTGACAGTGCCTCTCCCACTCTTCATCTCTCTCCTTTGCACTCTCTCACCACTCCTTTTCCTTCTTTTTCTCCCTAACTCTGCTCTTCTTTAAACACTCTGCTTTGTAAAAACCCTCATAAGCACTTTTTTTCTTTATCACACCCTTTTCTTCATCATTCCACCAATCACATCTTTCCTCCTCCCCCACCCTCCTATAACCACAAACTTCGCCCCACATTCTAATACTGCATTTTAAAACTATTCCAACCCTCTTCAATCCCCCCACTACTCATCTTCCCACACTAGCCCACCTTGCGCCAATAGTCGCTTATATCTCACCCGAACTTCCTCCCTCCTTTTTGGGGTTGGGGGGGTGTTTGTTATTATTAGGGTTTTCCGACACTTTCACCTCCCTCTTACTTGTTGTGCCACCTTCCTCTTTTCCCATCTACCTCTTACTTTAAACTGGAATACAACAAAAAATACCGATATTAACAGTTGCCCCTCTATAAACTGTACAAACCCTGGAGCCAACACCATCAACCTTTCATCCACCAATACATAATCTAATAAACTACTTTCATTACGTGCTACATCATACCTTGTATTTATTATCCTCATTCATAAATATGTATTACTTATTACAAAATCTCTTTCTACACACAAAAAAAAAAAATAGCCAATTAAAGGCTCCCCATTTACATTATACCCCTGGCACCCCAAATTTACCTACAACTCCCTCCAAACAATTACCCACTTTAGCATTGAATCCCCAACACCATAACTCCACAACTGTTCAAAACTCCCCACCGCATACACTCAACATTTCCCAAAATCCTACATCTCTCCTCTTCACTTCTCTCTTCTCCATGTGCATACACGCTATCATACCCACTTATCACATCCAATCTTATTTTACTCCACATTAATCCTTGAATTAATACTTTTATAGTCCCTCTTTTCCTGCCATATGCTATCTTCAACCAATATGCTACACCATCTTTAGCTCAACTCTATTTACTTATTTATTTATTATTATAATTATTAATTTCATATGAAACTAATACATAGTAATCTAAAGGAGTTGCCTCACACATTCCATTTTCTGATGAAATAAAGTGTGGGATGTAATGTCAGGAGAGGAATGCCACCGTGGTGGCCCTATAATACACAACAACAATGGCCACTGTTGCTCCGCCTCCACTAACACTACCACATATGTAAGTATTTCATTCATCAGTGTATATAACATTTCTATGTATTAAATATTTAAAGTAAAAGGACACAAGTGCAACTAATGAGGACATTTATCGTGGCAACGTTTCACATCCAGGAGCATTAATAAAGCTTGATAAAGCTGCCCTGGAGAGTGAATACGTTGCCACAATAAATGTCAATTAGTTTGCAACTTTGTCCTTTTACTTACATATTGTCGAATTCTACAACTTTGTTATTAATATTGTTTATTATGTCATATTAGATGAACTGTGATAAGTCTAAATAACCCTATAGATATATTAGTAAAATACTGAAGTATCCTGACAGCCTCCTGAAGAGCTGGGAACGGATTTAATGCCATTCAATTAATTTAAAATAGGAAAATTGACTCTGCAAACGAGCAAATCCAGTTGCGACAAGGGCTGGGAACAGATTAAACTCGCAAGTTAGAGTCCACTGTATACTACATAAAATAATAAATCTAGTTAGTAGGCAGGTAGAACAGCCACCGCCCAGGAGGTACTACCGTCCTTCAAGCGAGTGTAAAACGGAAGCCTGTAAATTGGTTTTACACGAAGGAATGGATTTCAGGTGTCGTTTTTATTCTGTCTCATACTCCATGCAGATTTCAGGTACGTCTTGCTACTACTACTTACACTTAGGTCACACACTACTACATACATGTACAGGCATATATATACACCCCCATTGGAATTTCTTTCTATTTTTCTTTCTATTCCTGTATCATTTCCCTCTTACCTCCATGGGGGAAGTGAAACAGAATTCTTCCTCGTAAGCATGCGTGATGTAAGAGGCCGACTAAATGCCGGGAGCAAGGGCTAGTAACCCCTCTCCTGTATATATTACTAAATGTAAAAGGAGAAACTTTCGTTTTTCCTTTTGGGCCACCCCACCTTGGTGGGATACAGCTAGTGTGTTGAAAGAAAGAAAGGATTGCTGGTGTCCATTTTTCTGTTTCATGAACATGCAAGGTTTCAGGTACGTCTTGCTACTTCTACTTATACTTAGGTCAACATTACACATACATGTACAAGCATATATATACATACATACCCCTCTGGGTTTTCTTCTATTTTCTTTCTAGTTCTTGTTTATTTCCTCTTACCTCCATGGGGAAGTGGAACAGAATTCTTCCTCCGTAAACCATGCATGTCGTAAGAGGCGACTAAAATGCCGGGAGCAAGGGGCTAGTAACCTCTTCTCCTGTATATATTACTAAATGTAAAAGGAGAAACTTTCGTTTTTCCTTTTGGGCCACCCCGCCTCGGTGGGATACGGCTGGTGTGTTGAAAGAAAGATATAATAATAATGTACTACATAATAATAATTATAATAATAGACGGCTTCAAAAGGCCGTCACTAGATGCCAGAGTTTACCACAACAAAGAGGGAGTGGTTGTGGCCACCTCCACCTGTTACATAATGACATTTTATTCATTCTAGAGTATATATCAGGTTTCTATGTTATTTATATTATTTATTATTTCATATTAGATGAACTGTGATAGATAAATAAGCCGTATAGATGATATTAGCGAAATTATTCAAGAAGTATTTTGTCCGGTCTCCAGACAAACTGTCGTCCACCGCCGACACCACCCATACCACTACATGAATTACATATATTATTCATTTTAGAGGATATATCAGGTTTCTATGTTATTTATATTATTTATTATGTCATATTAGATCAAGTGAGATAGATAAATAAGCCGTAAAGTTGATATTTGCAAAATTATTGAAGTACAGAATTCCACTGAAACAGATTAATTGTATTTCAATTAATTTAAATGAGAAAAATTGACTCTGCAAACGAGCAAATCCAATTGTGAGCAAGGTCATGGAACAGATTAAACTGGCAAGTAGAGGTTCCACTGTATATGATTGTATAGTTGCATACAGCAATGCACAGCATCACTTTTCCTAGAGAAACATTACTCTCCTTACTATAGCAACATTATCCCTTAACAACATCCCCTTCATATGAAAGAATCACCTCTCCCATGGCAGCCTCACTACTCTCTCTCCTTACTGCAGCTTCACTCTCCTTACTTGTGCCCTTCTGCCTTGTTTTTTTTTCTCATAATTTCCAGTTTTTTGTGCTCTTGTTGAAGCAATCCCAATTTTAATTTGTTTTTCTCAGCATGTTGCTACTGTTTTACTAATGTGATAGGTTATAGAGGCAAACCAACATGTGGAGTTCTTAAGTAGATGTTTTAATTACAACTTAAAAAGCCTTGAGCTTCTAAAGGCAATAAACCTCTATGAATATTTATAAACAAGTTAAAAGTTACAAAAGAAAACCCTTCAAGGGCTTTTATCCTGAGAACAAAGAGCACTTACCTCTACATAACCAGACAGTGGAAAATCTTTCCTTAAGGGATGGCCCTCAAAGCCATAGTCTGTAAGAATTCTGCGAAGGTCTGGGTGGTTGGAGAAGAATACTCCATACATGTCCCACACTTCCCGTTCATACCAGTTGGCTGCCTTGTGGACCTATTGAGAGAGAAACTTCAGACTAAATAATAAATATCACCACCATCACCTGCATTTTCCTTTCATGAGGTAGGAATGTGCTGGCTTTGAAAGAGGGGAAAAGCTCAGAGTGAAAGCACTGTACTTCCCACCTCCAGAACAAGTCTGGCTATTTAGAAAACAGCCATCACATCTTACTTCCAGCCCTTCCTGAGGCATTCCCCTTACACCCCCTTCACTCCAGCCCCAGATTTAAACCCCCTCTAAATGACAAACTATTTCAACAACCTCCTTTCTGAACTATATTTTTCAAGCTACCACACCATCTAATTTCTTCACTGCTTGTTCTCAGCATAACAGTCACAGCACACTGATCTCAAATATAATATTTCCACTTCCTCCTAACTGCAACATTCAAAGGCTATGGTTCACCCATACATAATTGTTGACACCATTATGCACAGATGCATTCTCTATTCTGCATTTACTGGGAAAATGTTTCTTCCTATAAAAGTCTCAACACTATCTCCCTTTGCTTCCCCCTTGTCTTTTCTATTATTCATCTCATCAATCATACTTCCATTGCCCACCACATCTCCTCCCGAATACTTAAAATATTATTCAATTCATCTCTAATCCGACAGCCAATCCTTTATTGGCTTCTTTTTGCTCTCTCTTTATTCATTTATAAATTCCTTCTTTTATAATATAGTCGTGGAAAGAACTAACCCTAAGCGGGTCATTCACAGCCCAACCCAAAGCAGCACAGTACTGCATTGAGTACATACAAATCTGGAAAACTCTTTGACAAAAGTCTTCCACCATTACCATTTGACTTAGTTATTTACATTGCATACAGTAAAACCTCAATTTAACAAGACCCTAAATCAACAGATTTCATATTTAGCAGACAAAATCGGTGACTGGACAACATTCAGAAAACAACAGATAATCTCCATTAAATCCAGAATCGTTAGTCATTCTTACAGTGTGCTGGGTAAATTTATTTTGGGAACTTACAACACAAAAAGGCACAGCACAACAAAAGTGTTCCATCCTAAGTCTAATAGGGTAAAGCAAAACATTTTAATTTTACAAGAAATAATAAAAAGTTATGACTATCTGTAATTACTAAAAAGAAAAGGATACTGTATAACCATTTAATTACTCGCAATTCATGCACAAATGGGAGACTTAAAACTTTCTTACTGCTTACATCATAAATGCTCTCAAGTGGCGTCAACTCGTCTGTATAAGTCTTCACGCGGATCCTGCTACTGTAACGCATTGAGAGAAGATTATACACTACCTGAAAAAAATTTCATATAAAATTGAACCAATAAATTATTTATTACTACAGTATCAATTATGTTGTATTCACAGCACAGATACACTATCGTGAAAAGCAAGACTTGTATAACAAGCATAAAAAAAAAAACACGATTTAGACCAAACCCCCAGTTTCAACAGCAAGGCATCTTGGTTCAGGGCCACTTTGCTACTATGTGCTAATGCATTATGAGATTTTAATATACATTTATGCTGGTCTGCTGCTCAGAAAAAAATGTACCTTAGAAGGTAAGCATAAATTCATTCAACCCATTATGTGGCAGTAAAAATAAAACACCGATAAACTAATAATGAAACTAATAGTGGCCTGTTCACAAAATGGTTTGCATAGACCTGTGTGTCACTGTTAAGGGTACATCTGGAGGGGAAAAAAAACTTGCATTCAAGGACTGTTTTGTTCTTGATAATTCAAGAACAAGACTAGTCTTTCTAGTCATTCTGCCACAATGCTGCAGGTTACAGTCTTGTAAAATGTTTATACCAACCCATATAACTTTTTTCATGCAACCACTAGACCAAAAAGTTTGTAACAAGACCTTCAAGTACTACTGCACCAGTATGCTAAGGAAACTTCTCTAGGCATTGAAGGATATCTCTGAAATACAACGCAGTCACGGCATACAACGACCCATTCTAATATTCATTATCAATAATTTTCAAGATTTTCCCCACACAAAGGTGAAAGATGTTATGAAATTGATAAGGCATGTGGATGGCGAGGGTTTCAAGACTATGAAACCCTTTCACTGTCCATATCCCCAATCTGAAACTTGTCCATAATGTCCAAGAATTTTCTTGTGAAATGGTAGATAATCCTTTTCTGAAGCTAATAAAACAAAAAAGTACAAAAGTTTATGGAAAATTGACAGAATTACATTTTTGCAAATTTTCCTGTGTCACTGATATTTATGCATTGGCAATTTTGCCCACCGAGTCCTATTTAAGGCCAATTACATTGCTCCAGTCGACCAAATTCTTAGCTATTTCACTAGTATGTCTTTCATTTTATCAAATGAGCACAAGAAATCGCCCAATAAACTATTTCAACTACCCAATAAAATGATCAGAACTTAAGAAATCGTAATGACACGATTGCAAATAAACCATACCCCCGGCTGGAGTTTTGAGACTCTATGACCGCGGGTTCAATCCCGGCCGGGGGTATGGTTTAAAATGATCAGAAATTGGTAAATTAGCCAATATTACACAAATTTTCAAAATATTCCAATTTCAAAATAGGGCTTAGAATAAATAATACAGGCATTCCTGGCACTAAAATAACATTTCATCTGTTCATTAGTTACATTCCCAGGCATTACACATGAATTCCATTTTGATTTTTTATTCACACAGAATTTTGAATTACACAAAAAATAGAAGATTTACTGTCATGCATATTGTAATAATTGTATAAATAATAATTGCACATTTGTGAATGCATATTAGACCCACCACTTGATGTGTATTGGATGTGTGACGTGATTTGTTTATTCTTGAACATAGGCAAAAATCAAATATGTCTGTTAATTTGAGCTCAATTTCAAGCTATTTTCAGTCTTAAAACCAATGAAAATCATCGCTATTTCTGTAATATATCTTCCATTCTATCAAATGAGACCAAGAAACCGAGAATAAAACCATAAAAACACATACAAAAATATACCACAAAATCATTGTTTTAAACCAAAAACATGGTCCCAGTTTTTCCTCATTATTCACTGTGTGCTGCAGGATTTTTTTTTTTTTTTTTTTCAACAAGTCGGCCGTCTCCCACCAAGGCAGGGTGACCCAAAAAAAGAAAGAAAATCCCCAAAAAAAAAATACTTTCATCATCATTCAACACTTTCACCACACTCGCACATTATCACTGTTTTTGCAGAGGTGCTCAGAATACAACAGTCTAGAAGCATACACATAAAAAAGAAACACCCAAAATATCCCTCCAAACTGCCAATCCCAAACCCCCCCTTTAAAGGGGCCGGCATTGTACTTCCCATTTCCAGGACTCAAGTCCGACTATATGAAAATAACCGGTTTCCCTGAATCCCTTCACTAAATATTACCCTGCTCACACTCCAACAGATCGTCAGGTCCCAAGTACCATTCGTCTCCATTCACTCCTAGCTAACACGCTCACGCACGCTTGCTGGAAGTCCAAGCCCCTTACCCACAAAACTTCCTTTACCCCCTCTCTCCAACCCTTTCGAGGACGACCCCTACCTCGCCTTCCTTCCCCTATAGATTTATATGCTTTCCATGTCATTCTACTTTGATCCATTCTCTCTAAATGACCAAACCACCTCAACAACCCCTCTTCTGCCCTCTGACTAATACTTTTATTAACTCCACACTTTCTCCTAATTTCCACACTCCGAATTTTCTGCATAATATTTACACCACACATTGCCCTTAAACAGGACATCTCCACTGCCTCCAACCGTCTCCTCGCTGCTGCATTTACCACCCAAGCTTCACACCCATATAAGAGTGTTGGTACTACTATACTTTCATACATTCCCTTCTTTGCCTCCATAGATAACGTTTTTTGACTCCACATATATCTCAACGCACCACTCACCTTTTTTCCCTCATCAATTCTATGATTAACCTCATCCTTCATAAATCCATCCGCCGACACGTCAACTCCCAAGTATCTGAAAACATTCACTTCTTCCATACTCCTCCTCCCCAATTTGATATCCAATTTTTCTTTATCTAAATCATTTGACACCCTCATCACCTTACTCTTTCTATGTTCACTTTCAACTTTCTACCTTTACACACATTCCCAAACTCATCCACTAACCTTTGCAATTTTTCTTTAGAATCTCCCATAAGCACAGTATCATCAGCAAAAAGTAACTGTGTCAATTCCCATTTGAATTTGATTCCCCATAATTTAATCCCACCCCTCTCCCAAACACCCTAGCATTTACTTCCTTTACAACCCCATCTATAAATATATTAAACAACCATGGTGACATTACACATCCCTGTCTAAGACCTACTTTTACCGGGAAGTAGTCTCCCTCTCTTCTACACACCCTAACCTGAGCCTCACTATCCTCATAAAAACTCTTTACAGCATTTAATAACTTACCACCTATTCCATATACTTGCAACATCTGCCACATTGCTCCTCTATCCACTCTATCATATGCCTTTTCTAAATCCATAAATGCAATAAAAACTTCCCTATCTTTATCTAAATACTGTTCACATATATGGAGTACAATTATCATATAGACCCATTCTCTCATATCTAGGCCAAATTTACCACTCACAGCTTATCTGAATGATCTGAATTCATGGCATAGTACTATGGCACAGTCAGCAAAAGGGTTCAATGAGAACCCCATGAGGCAGACTAAAGAAAAATATATTGGAGACGAGTATCAGGATAAAGAAGAGTAACAGGACAAAGAGAGTCTGCTGAAACAGCAATCAAACAGCATAATCTGCTTGGTTTGAGAGGAATTTAAAAGGTTTCCTTGAAGTCTTGAAGCACCTTACACTTCCATAAATTCAATAAGCCTATGTTATTCTCAGTGGCATTCCTACACCTAAATCTTTCTTGTTTTGGTAAATGCTTCTTATGGCTGTCGATAGTAACCATATTAGAGTAATATATTTACCCTTAAACTGTCCAAACGTAGATCTACGTTCGCTTGCGTAGCGCACCGAACATAGATCTACTTCTTTTTACATTCCTTTTTATGGAGAAAATCAAGGTCAGAGCGCTACACGCGCAAACGTAGATCTACGTTTGAACAGTTTAAGGGTTAAAGAGGTATGATCTAAAACACACAGTGAACCCATATCATAAAATTAAATTTGCAATTATCACAGTTCCTAGTTTCTTGGGACCTAGAAGCACATAACTTGACAAATTTTTGGGAATGGTTGTACAGCAGGTCCTTGAATAATGTCATTTCATTCAACGTCATTTCATTGTAACGATGAGAAAAATAAAAATTCGTAAAGTATACGATAATCATACAAATGCATGACAATAAACAATGCAGTACAAAAGAACTCAGTAAGCCTGCTATAGTTGTTGTGTTTGTTTTTGAACTGTGTGGTGGTAAGAGGTGCTCCTTACAATTTATACTTTGCAAATATCTATTCCTTTATGTAACCCTGTTGCAATGAGTGCTAAAGGTGCACCATGCACCCTTGATGTCTATGGCCATATAAAAAAGTATGACATCAGACACAAAATTAGAAGTTTTAAAGAGGTCCGATGATGGACGGTGAGGTGTGGTTTCATTATGCATCATTTTGCTCAGTCACAGTTTCCAAGAACCTACTGATTTCATTAAGTGAGGACTTGCTATATTTTGCTAAACTAGCAACCATCCTTTCCAAAATATGGTACTATGTACCCCAAATGGCACTACTTACACTATACCAATCACTAATCTACCCTTACCTCACCTATGGTATTTTTACTTGGGGATCGAATACGGCCAATCACCTTAAACCTTAAATAGCCCAACAAGAAGCTGTTGTGCGAATTATCGCCAACTACTGCGGCAGTCAACACACCCCACCACTCTTCAAGATCTTGAGCTTACTTATACAAAATACACACTCATATACACAAATAACCTGCACATAGGAGAGAGGAGCTTACAATGATGTTTCGGTCTGACTTGGACAGTCTTACCTCTATTACTACTACTTCCACTACCTGCCTTACCTCTACTACTACTCATCCCTCTCTCTTGTCCTGTCCCTGCCAGCTTGCCTATATATATTGGCTCCTCTTCTCCTTTCTGTCAGTGTGACTTTGTAAATTGTCCAATTTGGACCAAAACGTTGTCATCAGCTCCTCTCTCCTATGTGTGGGTTATTTGTGTATTGTTCCAGTCATGATATTGTGCCTTTTTGTTCTTTATATACTCATATTATTGTGCCTACTATTAAACAGAACATTAAACTCCAGTATAAACCCTACTCTCAAACTTCTCCTTGATAGCTACAACAAAACACAAAGGCATAGCACAAGGCACATAACACTCTTCAACATCCCTCATGTCCGTCTCACCCTATGCAAAAATGCAATGTCCATAAAAGGTCCTAAGATCTGGAATTCACTGCCCAAACCAACAAAAGGTCCCGTCTGCAAATCAATTTAGGGTTATACTGGTTAGCTGGACTCGAGTCCTGGAAATGGGAAGTACGTACAATGCCTACACCTTAAAGGAGGGGTCTGGAATATTGGCAGTTTGGAGGGACTTCTGAACTGTCGTATCTGAGCGCCTCTGCAAAGACAGTGATTATGTATTTGTGAGGTGAAAGTGTTGAATGATGATGAAAGTATTTTCTTTCTTTTTGGGTCACCCTGCCTCGGTGGGAGACGACCGACGTGTTGAAGGAAAAAAAAAAAAAAATCATCTCATCTCCTAAAATTAACCATACCAACACTATTCTAAATCATTTAACCAGTTCAAAAAATCCTAAAAAATTTACAACCACTTAATCAATTAATGCTGAATGATGATGAAAGCATTTTCTTTTTGGGGATTTTCTTTCTTTTTGGGTCACCCTGCCTTGGTGGGAGATGGCCAACTTGTTAAAAAAAAAAAAATACTTAAAACTGTACTGTTGTATCATGGTAAATTGTACTAACTGTAATACTGTTATCTGTTTTGTGCTACATCACTACTATAAATCTTATTAATTATAAAACCTTTTGGCTACTTCACTGTAGTAATAAGATAAAATATTTTATTTTTTTATTAGCACATCGGCAGTTTCCCACCAAAGTAGGGTGGCCCAAAAAAGAAAAACTTTCATCATCATTCACTCCATCACTGTCTTGCCAGAGGTGCACTTACACTAGTTATAAAACTGCAACATTAACACCCCTCCTTCAGAGTGCAGGCACTGTACTTCCCATCTCCAGGACTCAAGTCCAGCTTGCCAGTTTCCCTGAATCCTTTCATAAATATTACCCTGCTCACATTCCAACAGCAAGTCAAGTCCTAAAAACCATTTGCCTCCATTCGCTCCTATCTAACATGCTCAAGCACGCTTGCTGCAAGTCCAAGCCCCTCACACACAAAACCTCCTTTACCCCCTCCCTCCAACTTTCCCTAGGCCAACCTCTACCCTGTCCTCCCTCCACTACAGATTTATACACTCTTGAGGTCATTCTATTTTGTTCCAGCCTCTCTACATGTCTGAACCACCTCAACAACTACTCCTCAGCCCTCTGGATAGTAGTCTTGGTAATCCTGCACCTCCTCCTAATTTCCAAACTATGAATTCTCTGCATTATATTCACACCACATATTGCACTCAGACACAACATCTCCACTGCCTCCAGTCTTCTCCTTGTTGCGATATTCACTACCCATGCTTCGCACCCATATAAAAGCGTTGGTATAACTATACTCTCATACATTCCCCCTCTTTGCTCCATGGACAAAGTTCTTTGTCTCTACAGACTCTTAAGTGCACCACTCACTTTTTCCCCTCGTCAATTCTATGATTCATCTCATCTTTCAGAGACTCATCTGCTGACACGTCCACTCCTAAATATCTGAATACATTCACCTCCTCTATAAAATAATGAATAATTAAAATTTACCACTCTTTAACCTGTTTAGTTTTAAGTAGTCTGTAAGCACTAGGATCAGTCTGCCCGAATGCCCAGGCGTATTAAGAACATAGGAGTGAATGGAGACGAATGGTTTTTAATACTTGACGTGCTGTTGGAGTGTGAGCAAAGTAACATTTATGAATAACAAAAAAAAGGCACAATACCGTGACTGGAACGATACACAAATAACCCGCACATAAAAGAGAGAAGCTTACGAGGACGTTTCGATCCGACTTGGATCATTTACAAAGTCACACTAACCAGAAATGGAGCAGGACGGCTATATATAGGCAGGAAGAGGTGGTGGTGGTTGTAGTAGTAGTACAAGAATGGTATATAATACCGACAAGATGAAATTAAGTCACATGCGCAACACCCGGGCATCCCCATCGTAGACGTTTCGCCATCCAGCCAGCCACTGGATGGCGAAACGTCCACAACAAAGACACCCAGACGCCGCACATGTGTCTCAATTTCATCAGTAGTGGTAGTAGTAGAAGTAGAAGAGGTAGTAGTAGTGGTAGTGGTAGAAGTGGTGAATAAGGAGGACGAGCCAGTCCAAAACAAAGGAAGGGGAGCACTGTAAGAGAGCTAGGTGCCCACAGAGGGAGAGCAAGCGCACAGAGGTGCGTGAAAGGGGAAGTGGTGAAATAAATGAAGAAGGAACAGAAACACGAGACAGAAGAGAGAAAGACAACCCAGAGGGGAAAAAAGGAAAGAGGAAAGGGGAAGAGGGAGAAGAAGAAAAAGAAAAGGAAAAATGAGGAGTCAGGTTAAGTCACGGGTCTTCTGCTAAAACTGTCTTCCCTACTTCCAACTCGTACAGTCGCCGTCTAGTTGAATCCTCTCTAATACACAACTTTCCTTGCATGAATCTTAGTCCTGGCTTCATCTCTGTAGATGCCTTCCTCTCCCACTACATTGTAAAATGCTCCAAACTTCAGAACACCCGTGACTTAACCTGACTCCTCATTTTTCCTTTTCTTTTTCTTCTTCTCCCTCTTCCCCTTTCCTCTTTCCTTTTTTCCCCTCTGGGTTGTCTTTCTCTCTTCTGTCTCGTGTTTCTGTTCCTTCTTCATTTATTTCACCACTTCCCCTTTCACTCACCTCTGTGCGCTTGCTCTCCCTCTGTGGGCACCTAGCTCTCTTACAGTGCTCCCCTTCCTTTGTTTTGGACTGGCTCGTCCTCCTTATTCACCACTTCTACCACTACCACTACTACTTCTACTACTACCACTACTGATGAAATTGAGACACATGTGCGGCGTCTGGGTGTCTTTGTTGTGGACGATTCGCCATCCAGTGGCTGGCTGGATGGCGAAACGTCTACGATGGGGATGCCCGGGTGTTGCGCATGCGTCTTAATTTCATCTTGTCGGTATTATATACCATTCTTGTACTACTACTACTACTACTACCACCACCTCTTCCTGCCTATATATAGCCGTCCTGCTCCATTTCTGGTTAGTGTGACTTTGTAAATGATCCAAGTTGGATCGAAACGTCGTCGTAAGCTTCTCTCTTTTATGTGCGGGTTATTTGTGTAACATTTATGAAGGGATTCAGGGAAACTGGCAGGCCGGACTTGAGTCCTGGAGATGGGAAGTACAGTGCCTGCACTCTGAAGGAGGGGTTTTAATGTTGCAGTTTAAAAACTGTAGTGTAAAGCACCCTTCTGGCAAGACAGTGATGGAGTGAATGATGGTGAAAGTTTTTCTTTTTCGGGCCACCCTGTCTTGGTGGGAATCGGCCAGTGTGCTAAAAAAAAAAAAAAAAAAAAATAATATAAGGAAGAAAGAACACTGGCTTTGCATTTAACATTTGGAGAGATCCAAGCAATATTTACATGTGATTCACAACTTTCCACCCTAGTCCAGTAACTATTCTCTCATGCTCTACAAAATATTTGACTTCAGAAGTAAGGCTATTAAAATGTGTGGTAAAGAATGAGTATGTAATTTTTTCTATAAGAAAAAAACTTACTTCTATACGTGTGTAGTGTTTCCTAGAACCTAGCCATATTTTACCTTTCCAATTCACCAACTACTCAATGTGCATAATACATTTTCAAACAGTTTTTAGAATTGTATAGTGATGTACTGGATATCCGCATCCTCATCCATGGAACATCTGCATACGTAATTTCTTACATCTGCATTTTACTGTAAACAGATATCTGCATATGCATCCCCATCCATGGATATCTAAATTTTCACATACGATACATCTCTAGAACTACGTATTCTGTACCTTGGAAGTTAGAGTCTAATGCACCAAACCATAAAGGCATCAACTAAAAAATAAACGTTATTTATTTATTATCTAAGTTACCTTATTTTCTTTCTAGATAACACATGCTTTATACAAAAAAAAATGGTTAAGATTGATGACACTAATCTTTTTATGAGGCATATTTTTTTTTTTTTAACAAGTCGGCCGTCTCCCAAATAAGATATAGCAAAATAAAGCATATTCACTAACCTCAAAGCGGTAAGCCCTGGATGGAACATCAACTCCACACAGGTCAGACAAGGATGTATATTGAGCATTAGTATGATCTTTTAGGAATGACATAACAGGCACCACTCCTTCAGGAGCTATCAACACTTCCAGTTCATTCCCTGCTGTGATCTGTACCTGAGATATAAATACAATAATGTGAAGAACTGCAAATACCACAACAATATAACTAAATCATTATTAGATTCATGTAGAGGTACTAAACCCCTAGGAATTGCACAATGCCTGGGAATATAAGAGGCAATCAAGTGTGACTGGTATCACAGCATCTCCTTTGAGGCATTTTTAGAGAAGGAAAAACTGTTACATACTTGGAAGACACTCTTCAATTATTCTTATAAGTAATGCTTTTTTTATTTTACCAAGAATTATTTTTTATTTTTTTATCATATAACCTATTTTTGTACTACAACAGCCATCATTAATTTTACTTTATCTACTATTCAACTTTCCCAACTGCCAATTTGTCACACCTCCATATACATACTTAAGACCAACAAGATAGCTTAAAACATCAGTTAAATTGAGTTATATTAGGAACGTTTCACACAGTTCTAAAGTAGAATTCTCTGGATTTTTTTTTTACAAGTTACAGGCTATGACTTGTTATCCAGCCTCAGCTTATTCTGAAGCCCAATAAAACTCCAGACCGTCGTGTTAGCGACGGTCTGGAGTTTTGAGACTTTCTGACCGCGGGTTCAAATCCAGCCCACGGTATGGGGATACATTGATGGACCTACCGTAGATACCTGAAACCATAGACAGTAAGGAACCCTATATGTCATTTCATGTACATACATACATACCTATGATAAAGTTTAATTAATAAATTATGCAAAACAAGTCTAGAATTAGCACTTTTTCACTTATGGGAAACCATTTCACAGCTTCTCTTAGGCTCTGAAGAACTGCCAGCATCACTACTTTTGCACTTTGGGGCCATTATTAAGCAAAATTAAGGGTCATTTTTGGGCCATGGATAACTGAAGCTGCAAATACCAAATCAGTGGATATGGGAGGTTCTACCATATACTGTACATACACTGTCCTGAATGCCCATGGCCGGGCTCCAAGAGTAGTGAAACTCTCGAAACTCCTCTCTTCAAAGGTACGTATTTGGCACTGATCCTCAACCTTTTTGGGTAAGAGGTTCCCCCCCTTCTTACATGAATTTTTTTTTTTTCAAAGTCCCACATGATTACACTGTGGTTGTAATATTGTGCTTTGTTAATAAAGTCAAGCACTGACTAGAGGGGCAATACCTGTACAAGAAAGAAAATTTGGTGAATGCTTCCACACAATTTCCCACTTTCCTGAAAAGGAAACAAAAATGCTGACCTACCTTCTGTACATACTTTGGTAGACACTCTGCTACATATTGCCCAAACTCACTCAAAGTCTGCCTTTGAACGGCATTTTCAGGTCGAATAGTAGCTGCAAGAAATGATTGAAAAATACTTAAGAACTCTTTACATCTCTTACGATAGTTGATATATCAGGTATACAATGAGAAGGAGACTAGGGAAATAGTTCAAACACACTGATCAGGTCAACATCAGTATGAGGACTGGGTCAGAGGGCAGAGGGAAGACCTAAACTAAGAGGTTGGGAAAGAAGGATGTTGAGAAAAATTAGCTCTGGATTAGTTTCAGTAGGCAACTGCCTCTCCAAGTTACCAAATGTTCTATCATCAGATGATGTAAAACTTGACCTGATCTTGCCTGTCTTTTCACCTCTCAATGATCTGAACCAGTTTCTTTTTTCTCCCAATTTCATATTCACAAGGTCCTGAATGGAATAAAATATCATCCAATTTTCATGCAGAATTTAAGACACTGATGTCAAAAGTAAACTTATGACAATTCTATTTTTTTTAATAACACATTGGCTGCTTCTCACCGAGGCAGGGTGACTTGAAACAGATCATTTTCATTATCACTCATTCCATCACTGTCTTGCCAGAGGCATGCCTACACTACTATTCAAAAATTGAAAAGAAAAACACTCAGTGCGAAGTGCTAAATCCCATAGGAATTCTACAGCTTCTGGGAAGGCAATTAGGTTCAATCCAAGGAAAATGAGGATAAGTCCATGGATTAAGGCATCAAGGCACCACCCATGAGTGGACACTTCCCATAATCTTTAACTCATGTACAATACCTGAAAAAGAAGAAAAAGCCACTTTTGTAGTGACCTCACCATTTGTACATAGAATGCCCATTTACTACAGTAAGTATATTTAGTATATTTATAAAAGTACTGTATAATCAATACATCATACCAAAGTGTCAGACAGTGATGTTCAAAAGTATTACTTGATATTACATAACAGTTTACCACAGTATCTAATACAATACATACTTAAAAATCCATTTTTTTTTTTAACACGTCGGCTGTTTTCCACTGAGGCACGGTGACCCAAAAAGAAAGAAAGACCCAAAAAGAAAGAAAAAACTTTCATTATTGTTCAACACTTTCACCATCATTCATACATAATCATTGTCTTTGCAGAGGCACTCAGATACAACAGTTTAGATGTCACTCCAAACAGCCAATATTCCAAACTCCTCCTTAAAGTGCAGGCACTGTACTTCCCACTTCTAGGACTCAAGTCTGGCTAACCAGTTTCCCTGGATCCCCTCACAAAATATTACCCTGCTCACACTCCAACAGCTGATCAGGCCCCAAAAGCCATCCATCTCCACTCACTCCTATCTAACATGCTTACGCACACTTGCTGGAAGTCCAAGCCCTTTGCCAACAAAACCTCCTTTACCCCCTCCCTCCAACCTTTCCTAGGACGACCCCTACCCCGCCTTCTTTCCACTACAAAATATGAGCCATAATTATGATATACGTACGATGCAATTGGGTGCTGCACAGTCTCATCTCTGCAACACGTGGCACAACTGTAAATAAAGGTACTTTATTAATGTTGTGTACTATATTAATAATAATAATGATGATAATCTTTATTTCTACAAGTACATGATAAAACGTATACAAACCATAGCTGACATCAATGATATACTATATAGAACATCCCTGGTTATGCAGAGCACTGGGCAAATTAGGTCAACTTTGTACCCAGGATGCTACCTACACTAGTCAGCTAACACCAGGTACCTATTTTACAGGGACATCAGGTATCTTAAGAAAACACATCCTAACGTTTCCACCTGTACTGGAGATCAAACCACGGACCTCAATGTGTGAGTTGAATGCTCTACCAATCTATAGGGACCCCAAAATGTGCTTCAATGCTAGTATTACTTCTTTTTTTTTCAGTACAATTTTCAGCAGATAGTACTACTACATAATTATTACTACATAATCTATTCCAATTATTATAATGATTAATAGAACTAGCTACAGAAAAGCAAAATATTTTTACAATGGTTAAGAGAGATGTTATGGGCACATGAAAAAATATATTACATAAAATTTTATCTAGGATAACCCAATTAGGTCAAATTGACTCCATACCATATCCAAGAACAAGTGCTAAACCAGTATGGGTCACAGAGCACTGAACAAATCTAAAAACACAATTATTTTGTGAGATTATTAATCTGGAGAGTTAGTAACCCAGGATATCCCAATAGTCATTTTACTGCCAGTGGGGTCCTTTTAATCCTCTTTCCCAGGATGCAACCCACACTGGTCGCATTACATGTATCACAGTGTGTATACCCGAGTATACCTGGAAAGGGTTTTGGAGGTCAACGTTTCCATGGTTGGTTCGTGACCAAGCCTCGCGGTGGATCAGGGCCTGATCAACCAGGCTGTTACTGCTGGTTGCATATGAACCGATGTACGTAACATAGCCTGGCATCCAGGTGTCCTGTTGCTCAATCACTAGCGCACTCAGCTCACACAGAGGTTCAGGGGTCGATCCCAGGTACGGCTGGAAACATTAGAATGTGTTTCCCTAAGTCACCTGCTGTCCATGTAAATCTATCAGTAAAATAGGTACCCGAGTGTTAGTTGGCTGGTGTAGGTCACATCCTGGGGACAAAATTGATCTAATTTGCCTGAAACGCTCTGCATACACGCACCTAAAGTCAGTTCCGGATCAGCCGGGCTGTAGCTCGTATGTTGGTTTGCGTGCAGCCAGCAGCAACAGCCTGGTTGATCAGGCTCTGATCCACCAGGAGGCCTGGTCTCAGACCGGGCCGCGGGGGCGTTGACCCCCGGAACTCTCTCCAGGTAAACTCCAGGTAATACCAAGCGGTTTTCTATATAGTAGTATGTCATTGATGTCAGCTAGAACTGTATAATTTGTACATGTAAAAAGAGATTATTATTTATTATTATTACTCGTGGTGCCCCTGAAATGCTGCGACGTCACAAGTGTGTGGAAAAGATCACCAACATTTTGGAATGAATAATCAAAAAACAACAAATGGGGAAAAGAAAACTACTGATCACTGGTCAAATTAACCGAAAAATTACAACTACATGGCCAGTAAAGGATAAAGTAAGATAAGAGATAAGATTTTCTTCGGATTTTTAACCTCGGAGGGTGAGCCACCCAGGATAACCCATGAAAGTCAGTTCGTCACCGAGGACTGTCTGTCTTATTTCCATTGGTGTCCTAAATCTTGTCCCCCAGGATGCGACCCACACCAGTCGACTAACATCCAGGTACCTATTTGCTGCTAGGTAACAGGACAGCAGGTGTAAGGAAACACGTCGAAATGTTTCCACCCGCCGGGAATCGAACCCGGGCCCTCCGTGTGTGAAGCGAGAGCTTTAGCCACCACCAAGTATGATGAGGTGTCTCAATCACCACCAAGTATGATGAGGGTCAAGCATGATGAGATTCAAATTAATATACATCACTTGCAGCTTACCCACTCTTGGAACATTTCTGACTACAGAGTAAACTGCTCGAGTAAGAGCGGCCGCCATGTTGCCTCCTTGTTGTTGTGACTTGTTAAGGCTACGCCGGCAGGAGCTGTACTCAGTCATATCTCCCAGCGTAAAAATTATTAATTCTAGATTTATTTAACCTAGAAACCTAACTTAGTGAAGACAAAACAGTTAAAACAAGCATTCCCATATATAAAAAGTGGATAATCATGTTAAGGAGTGAAGAAAACGCCTACAAACATATGACTAAGGCTAATGATCGGCTTTCCAAAAGAGCCGTAGACTTTTGTAAAATTAACTAGATATTCATATGCTTGATAAAATTGATGAATTGGCAGTCACATGCCTTCAAAGAGGGAGTAGATTGTAATCTGGGCTGTCAGTTAGCAGTTTGAGAACATTAATACGAAAATAACCTTTACATTATCCTTTGTACCTGTGTACCTGTCTACCATCTTACTATCATATTATAACCAAGACATTGCCATTGTTATTTTTTACTTATTATTCTTTTGGTACTTTAATTTGTGAATTTTATTTTGTCAATTTAAATCTAGTTATACTCTTGATCTTGTCAACAACCTATACCAGACTCTAGTGCAATTGCAAGTACCATTTCAATTTGTATTTTTATATTATAAGTTTATATTATAAGTCCTACTCTAAGACTGTTTTCATATCTTAGTGACTATATTGTGTGTGCAATTAGTGTATATTTCAATTATATTATTGTTCAAGGCCCTTAACTATCTTTTGCTAACTAGTACCAACTACCTCACATATTTTTTTTTCTACTTTTTTTTATTCTTTTGCTACCTTAACTTGTATATTTTATCTTGTCAATTTAAATCTAGTTATACTCTAATTCTTGCAAACAACTTATATAACACCTTAGTGCAATTACTTGAGAGTCTTGTGCCATTTTTATATTATTAGATTAAACTCAGTTGTACTATAGCTCATTCTAGCTCAATACATAGACTATACCAAAGTCATTACATTAGACCTTAGTGCAATTACAAGTGAGAGTCTTGTGCTATTTTTAATTTGTATTTTTATATTATTAGTTTATACCTAGTTGTACTTTAGCTCATTCCAGCACAACACATAGACAACACCAACTCCATTATGTGTATTAGTGACTATACTCTATATGACCAAAATGTTATAGCTATATACTTGTCCAAACTTCCCACCACTACAGATATCAGTACTAAAACTCAACACACAACTCAGGATATAAATAACCATAATTTAAACCTAGAAGATGATTGATCATGTTGACCCTGATCTAAACCTCCATAATCTGACACACAATCAAAACCTATTGGAAAGTAACTGCCTTTACTACACAGCATCACAAGCCAGCACTATCCTAAACAATGCTAAAAGTATATCAGTACTTAACTACAACATCAGGTCCTTAAGCAACACTATGATGACCTCCTGGCACTCTTGAATCACTAAAGACACCCTTCTCCTCGCATTATTCTTACTGAGACCTGGCTTAAGCAGGACACAATAGATATCTACCTTACCAGGATACACAGCAATCCACAACTGCAGACCATACCAAGTTGGGGGTGGTATTGCAATCTATTACTCTAACCAATTATCTTGTATTAGCACCACTTGCTTCAGTGATGAATATGGAGAATACAATTTTGCTAATTTTACTGTAAAAAAACCTTAAGACGCCTATAACAATCGGTGCCATTTACCGGATACCCCACACAAACATCCCCAAATTTCAGTGAGAAATTAAAGGCACTAATAACAAACAGACAAATGAATAAGCACCACCTTCTCTTAACTGGAGACTTCAACATCAACCTTGGCCTACTAAATGATCAGCCTGTAACTGATTTCATCAACAATATGAACAACACACTTCTCATACCAACAATAACTAAACCAACCAGGCTCACTGAAACATGTGCAACCATAATAGACCACATATGGACCAATATACTAACCCCCCTTAAATCAGGGATAATCACAGATAGCACTACAGACCACTACCCTACCTTCATCCTGACAAACATTAGTAAACCACCACTTGAATACAACAAAGTTTCATTTAGACTCCATGATGAGGCCTCAATAAGGAAGTTCACAGCTGACCTAGAGGATGTTGACTGGCCTACAGAATCTCCCAAGGCCAATGGTATTGATGACTGGACAGACATTTTTCTTAACAAATTACTTAGACTATACAACAAACATTGTCCTATAAAAACGAAACAGATCACAAACAAACGGCTTGGTTGCCCATGGCTAACCAGCACCATTCTGAAATCTATTGATAAGAAACACCAATATGAAAAGCAATATAGACAGGGCTTAATACACAAAGATATTCTTAAACACTATTCATCATTTCTCACCAAAGTAATTAAGAAAGCCAAACAACAATACTACTCCAGTAGATTCACTGACACAAGAGGAGATATAAAAAAGACCTGGAAAACACTCTCTCAGATTCTAGGGACCCACAAACTGAAAAAAACAAGAATATTGTCCTAACTAAACCTAATGAAACACCACTGCATCCCACTGACACAGCTAACAAGATAAACGACTTCTCAACCATAGGCTCTAATCTCGCCAATAAAATCCCACGTACCAATGCCCATGTCGGGGACTACCTAGATGGGAATTTCCCAAATTCCTTCTATCTTGCTTCAATTGAGCCCACGGAAGTCACCGAGATTATAAAGTCACTTAAAAATAACTCAGGGAATCTGTCTCATGTCCCACCATTATTATACAAGCGAGCGGCCCATGTCCTCTCGCATGCTATCTCATTACTTTTTAACAAGTCACTAGAAACTAGCACCTTCCCGAAACTACTCAAGACGGCAAGGGTTACACCAATACATAAAAGTGGTGACCCTACAGATTTAAACAACTATAGGCCAATATCAAACTTACCATTGCTATCCAAAATCTTTGAGAAACTCATGCACAGGAGACTATATTCATTTATAACGGCACAAAACATACTCACCCCCTGCCAATTTGGATTCAGGAAAAATAAAAGCACTAATGATGCAATCATAAAAATGCTAGATCTGCTTTACACAGCATTGGAAAATAAGGAATATCCACTAGGAATTTTTATTGACCTAAGAAAAGCTTTTGACACAGTAGACAACGGCATCCTACTCCACAAACTTGACCATTATGGTATAAGAGACCATGCGCTGGCATATTTCAAATTTTACCTTACTAATAGGTATCAGTATGTCACCATTAAAGACAGCATCAACAACACAGCCACTTGATACTGGAGTTCCGCAGGGAAGTGTCCTTGGCCCCCTGCTCTTCCTCATATACATCAATGATTTTCCAAACGTATCTCAACACCTGAACCCCATTCTCTTTGCTGACGACACGACTTATGTCATCTCTCACCCTAATCTTGCCACCCTCAACATCATTGTTAATGAGGAGCTGATCAAAATATCGCTTGGTGACAGCCAATAAACTTATGCATAACACGGAAAAAACCCTACTACATTATTTTTGGTAGCAGAGCAGGAGATGCGAAAATTAACATTAAGATCGACAAAAATTAATTTGCCAGGCAAAAATGAGGGCAAATTCCTAAGCCTACCCCTCGCCCAAAAACCCCAAACCTGAACTTCACACCCATATCCAACACATAAAAAAAAAAGAATTCCAAAAACGGGTTGGGGATCCTCTCCAAGATACGATACTGCGTCCCGCAAACTCCCCTTTCCACACATAACCATTCACTTATAAAAATCCCATACCTCACCTTCCCTATATGGGGCTTGGGGTTCAACTGCAGCAACACACCTAAAGCCAATAAAAAACCCAACAAAAAGCTGCAGTAAAGAATAATCACTAAATCCCACCCCCTGGAAACCCCCCCCCCCCACTCTTCATAATCAAACTTACTCCCTGTTCATTTACATCCACATTTACTACTGTGCAATCTACATCTACGGGACCTTAAATTCCAATTTTAAACCCTTTGACCAAAAAAAACGTTTTCCCTTTGGGATAGTTCGACAGGCACAAACCAGACAAAAACATCTCTAGACTTTTTCCCCGGTCCGACAAAACCCTTTTTAAAAATTCAATGTTGTCAAAGGGCCCTAAAACCCGGAAACACCCAAACCTGAAAATTTTTAAAACTGCAGACACATTCATCCCTTTCAAAACTACCATCAAAAAAACATTTTATCCCCCCTTTGAACAACCCTGTAAACAAATTTACACAAAATACCACCGGTGGTTAACATTTACACACACTCACCCTTTTTGACCAAAAACAAAAAAATCAATCTCAATCCAAAATAATGAATTTTAACTAGTCAAAAATTGGCCTTTTGAAAAACTCCCAAATACTAAAAACATGTATATCCCCAAAACAAAAGCTTTCCCCCATTGCAAAAACTCAAAAAACTTTTATTTAGTCATTTGGGCCATAATACCAATTTAAACCTAAATAATTTTGGGAAATTTATTTTAAACTTAAGATTTTTAATTTAAGCCCTCCCGAAAAAGCCTACCCATGCTAGGTTTCTAGGGGTTACACCGGTAATTATTTTTTTACTACTTTAAACAAATACAAAAACCCAAAATTTCTGTAAATCCAGCATTGAAAACCCTTATAGAGAAAAAAATTTTAAAATTTTTGAATTTAAATTTGAATTCACCGGGCCATGTTGACAGAGCCGTCTGTCTTTCCCAAGACCTTGAGAGGGGGTCTCAGGTATCCGCTGAGGGTTTCTGGTCGTAAAAACGTTAAAATTTTGGCGGTCCTTGCACAAGTTTCCGAAAAATTCTTAGTCTTTAAAGTATTTTTTTTCCCTGGGACCTGCTCATGGGGTTAAATTTCCAAAGGCAAACCTAGTTTCCCCCTTGATTAGTTTGTGTGGAAAGCAAAATTTCAAGGGGTGATTGCCCTTCTGGGGCGTGCGCTTAGGTTTCCCCTATTGATCCCTCTGCTCAGTTTAAATTATTATTAAATCAAAGGGGGAAGCGCAAAAACCCGGGGATTTTTACAGCGCCGGGGGGGGATTAAAAGGCATTCAGGTTTAAATTTGGGGAATTTGGACCCAAAAGATCC